GATTCTGACAAAAAGTGACTTTTTTTGAGGGGGGGGGGGGGCTTTATGTATTTAATTGTATTTATAGTCACACGGAAAGCATGCATTACCATAATTAACAGATCTATACATACTTCAGAAATGTTTAACATTCAATATATCCCATAAACAATGTTCTATTTCTATAGATCATGACCAGAAGTAAATTAATGAGATTTTATTACTAATATATACACACCGCTTTCAATAGTTATTATCTATAATTTGACATATTTATATAACTCAAATATGTAAAGAATTTAAAAAAATTTCTTCTTCTTTTGAAATCAGAATGTTTCTTTAAATAATAAACAACATATATCCTCTAACCGCACATCTTTTTCAATAAAAAATTGCCTTATTAAAATAGACATACTTTATCTGAACATATAATGAATAACATGAACAAAAAAAATTATAAAAAAACAAGTTTTACGTGCAGGTTTCATCTGCTTACGCCAGTAGCAACGTTTCTGCATCACGTATCAAACAGTGAATACATATCTGTAAGAAAAAATAGTAAAGTTACATAAAAATATTTCTAAAATTTCTTTGCTTTGATTTCAACAACAATATCTATATATGTATCTGTCATGGCTGATAGCATGTCTTTGTTCTTACGTACAATTTGTTATTCTTTGTTCTGATGTGTGACATGACATTTTTTTATGCATTAAAAAAAGACTTCTATCATCATGTTCGAACCAAGTTTTGGAGATCAACAAGTAATCAAATAAATCTCTTCTATTTCTTTTATTGTCTCTTCATATGTCATAGAATTACACCGATATTGAAGCTGTTAAAGTTCCATTTGATGTAGCACAATGTGATGGTGATTCTCTTTATCAATATCTACCAAATAGGTTAAATAGTCCTAAAGATGATGAATTACAATCTTCACCAATGTCAAGTCATGCATTTCACAAATATATACGTCAATCTCATCTTGAAACAAGCACGACTAATAGTGTACGAAAAATGGCTTTAAAGTAAATTGACTTGGAAAAAGTAATCTGTGAAGATAAATCGTTGTTTGCCTTTAGTGAAGATCGTTTATTTACGACCACTTGGTAAAGGTGCATTTGGTATAGTTTATTGAGCACAATTAAAAAAAAAAAAATTTATTTATGCACTAAAAGTAAGGTTTTTATTTTTATTTTTTAAATTAAATTTTATATGCTTCATAAAAGTGAAATAAATGAATATTCAATAGCTGAACAAGTTAAAATTGAGACTGAATCTGGCTTTAAATTAAATCATCCATTTATATTAACTATGTATGATGTATTTCATGATGAAAAACATTTTTATTTTATGCTTGAATATGTTCCATATGGACAACTTTATCGATTTTTACAAAAATTACGTTGGTTTTCAAACTGTTTAGCTACCAGTGTAAAAAGCGAAGATTTTTCTTTCTTCAAAAAGTTTTAAAACTTCATTATTTTAGTATATTTATCAAATTTGTCATGCATTAGAATATTGTTATAATAAAAGTATCATTCATCGAGATTTAAATCCTGAAAATAGTAATTATTAAAAATAAAAAAATTCGTTTAGTAAATTTTGTTTTCATAGTTCTTGTTGATTGTTTGTGTAAATTTAAAATTAGCAGATTTTGGTTGGTCAACAAAAATTCGTCATGCTGATACAATGGAAATTAAATATTTGACAATAGATAATATTATTTTTCTTGTTTAAGGAATACAACAGCTTGTGGTACATTAGATTATTTAGCACCAGAAATTGTTGGTCATAAACAATATAAATATCAAGTTGATAATTGGTGTTGGTGTGGATGTTTGGTTACTCTTGTCTTACCCCCCCCCCCCCCAAACACACAGCCCAAAACATACTATTGAAAGTACTTAATAGTCATCTTTTTGGGAAAAAAATTTTACATGGGTAAGAATAGATCGAGAAACAGAGTGCAAAACTGATCACATCGCTTATGAAGAATCGCTTGGATTCCGGTAATTATACACACTGAAAACAAGAGTACTGCTAGGTGCTGGTCGAGTCCTAATATCCGGCTCGAGTACGAAAAGTTCTACCAGATTTAAGCATGAAACACGATGAATCGTCTATCCTGATGAATAAAAATCTTTGTCATACTAATCATTATGCATGAAAAGTTAGATAGAAACACCTGTCACGATGTATTTCATAGTCTTTCAGCTAGACTGGAAGAATGATTCATGTTTCTCGCAATACAGTTCAATACTTACACTCGTATTTCACAGAATCTACTATTTTCGAAATTTCATATCTTAAAGCATTAGTACATGACAAACAAACCGTTGAAATGACTACAATGAATGGATGGACACTACGGAAACTTCTCGTAATCGAACAGACAATTTTATCACTTATCGCTATTGAGCCACATAATATTGCGGATACTTTTCATGAATAACAAGAAAATTATAAAAATTGCTTGAATCAGACAATATAAAATTCGAAACTTAACAAATTGAGCAGTGCTGCTACTGTAAAACATTCTTATATTGCACACGAACAAGGACCTACAAAATCTATTCCAGAAGATATTTGACGAAAATCAACCTGTTACATTCCACGTTACATTTTTATGTTCTGCTATCTTCATTCAGAATCGTCTTCGAGAATATAAAAGAACTTAATCAAATCATGTTATAAGTCAAAGTCTATCAGAACTCTTTTGAAATTGGTTTTCTTAGTTTTTCCAAGGGCTAATTTACGCGTTTATTGATGATTGTTGACATTAAATATGAAATACCTGAGCAAATGAATCAATCCTGAAGAATATTTGTAAAGTTACCTGTTTAGATTCTAGTCGCTTGCAATATCGAATGCATTTTCTATAAAAACAAGAAAATTATATAGTATCTTTTACTAAAATGTCTTTTCTCAAAAGTGAAAGATGAAAAGAACGGAAAAAAATATGTGACTATTGAGGAAAACATCTCTCATGCAATTTTTTAGTCTGCTTCTTCCAGTATCTGAAATCAATTTCATTTTCCGCTCTACCTTATTTAGGGATGAAACGAATGTAATACGCATTACACTTTGGTACTTGATTATTCATAGAAACTGAATCGAAAAAATCTGAATATTTGTTTCTCAACTGATCCTCAATTCTCGAAATAGATCCCTGTGAATAGGTTTCATCTTCTCATTTAGCAAAACCAGATTTCAAATGAGCGTTGAAGTATACCGCAAGAAAAGTGATACCATCCTCCATTGCTTCCACCTTCCTTCACAAACCGTGACAGATAGACAGAGCATATAAAACTCTTTTAGGTGAACACTTAAGGAGAAAAAACTCGCTTAGTGTTTGCCATTTCTTGCTGCACAGCGGTATACATATCAAACAGGAAAGAATTGGATATCAAGTATTCAACTATTCAACTATCACTTTAAATGTTTAATTATTCAACCATTCAGCTTGTATGTTCAAGTATTTAAATATTCAATTATTAAAGTATTAAAGTATTCGATTCGCCTTTCACTACTACGAAAACATGGATAAGATATCTCTCTCGTAAAGAGTGCAATAGAAACACTTAAAGTGAAATGTTCAATACATGAAGTGAAGAGTTCAATAATTGAATACTTGAAGTGAAGTTAAAAAGTTAAATTTAACTTTCAAGTTTCACACTACTGCTAAGAAAATAAAATAAAATAAAAATAGAAGAAAAGTCGAAAAGATCTGAACAAATCTTGTACTTCACAACGTATTAATTTAGAATTAAGTATATATACATCTACACACAATAGTATATACATTATTAAAAAAAATCAGATTGTACCGCTATGACAAAGCAGAAATGCATGAATACAACGTACTTTTGCAAAACGAAATATAACGTTTTCTGT